AAGAAAATTAACTCTATCCCAGCCGAAACCAGGACACCCGAGGAGGCTGGGCACACCCCACGCAGGCACGCCCCACAGCTGCTCTGCGGCAGACCACTACTTCACAATTCTCCCCTTATGAGCGGCAAGAAATCAGTTTTTCAAGGAGCACGGCTGAATCTTAACTGAAATTTGGGACAATTTCAAGAATGACTGAAGACAGAAATAAATTGCAATCCACACATCCAGGACAGTTAAAACAGACTTAAAACACCCTAGATAGGCAAAAGAAGCATCTATTGGTACGGCAGCACAAGGCAGACCCTAGTTTCATCCTGCTACGAAGTCATAGCCATGGATACAGATTAACACTGCAAATGTGTACAGATTTCCAAATATAATTTTCCATATGGTTTTAAGTTGAGACATTTACTCTCAGCTTATTGCTAATAACCTGATTCAGAAAACTGTTTACTGAAACAACACTTTACCTGTTTGAAGCTGGAGCTTCACTGAAGTATTAAAAGTGCAGCTTAAAATACCACTGAAGTTAAAGTTAGCCTCAGCAGAGTTCAGCTTTCTATGTATTAGGCGCAAACCAACGTTACTGAACAGCAGACTAAAGATTACAGAAAACCTGCAGATTACTATGCATCAACAGAACTAGGACTGTTAGTCAACAGTGGAAGATAAAGCGTGGGCATAGTGCATGGAGCAGAACACCAACGCATGTTTTGAGACAGAGCTGTTCTTTTCAGATCAGTGAATCATAAAATATTTTGTTATGCAACGCTATATCTAATGAGCTAAAAATAGCTAAAGAAATAGCGTGGGAAATACACAGAACTTGTATTGCAGCTTTATTTCCCACAGGTTTAACAAGTAGCTGCGTAACTTGCAGGGGGAAAAAAAAAATGAATCTATCAACACTTGGAATTTTGACAGGTAATTCAAAAGCAAAAGTTTGAGTTAAAATAAACCCTTGCAGAAAAGCATACTATTGAATTTTTCACAGTACAGCAATTTTAATACATCTTTGAACTTTCACAGAAATGGTTGTTGATGTCTCGGGAGAGCTGGGAGGAGACTCAGACCCCTGCTCCTCACCAATTAATCTAGTTCTTTCCTCCAAGAGGCTGAGATTTGTCACGCAATGACTTCATACGACAAAGACCCCAGTATTAAGGGCCCTGAGACTCCCCTCACTGTTCAAGGCTGCCTACTACAGCCTAACCTCGCCCACAGCCCACAGCCCCTCACTGCTCCCATGCCCAGCAAGGCTCCAAACAGCTCTCGTCCCAGCCCCTCGCTGCTCCCACGCCCAGCAAGGCTCCGAACAGCTCTCGTCCCAGCCCCTCGCTCTTCCCATGCCCAGCAAGGCTCCGAACAGCTCTCGTCCCAGCCCCTCGCTCTTCCCATGCCCAGCAAGGCTCCGAACAGCTCTCGTCCCAGCCTCTCTGGAGGAGCGTGCCACTGCTCAGGAGAGCCTGCAGCCTGCCTCCGGCCCACCGCATCCCCGCTGCCAGGGCACCAGCGCCAGGCAGCTACAGCACGCGACAGGTCCGCAGGGCAGGAGAGGCAGAGTCCTAGAGCCACCTCAAACACAGCAACACACAGTAGTAGCAAGCACCTAGTAATTTTGGTGGTGACTGCCATTAAAGATACAGACTATAATGCTACACTAATACTCATGACTCATTCTTCACAGGACACGATGAAGAGTCTCAGTGATGGAGACTAATATACAAACACTGTAAAGTGCTAAATATCGGAGAGACGCCGAGATTACACAACAGAGACGATCCCATACAGACCTTCACTTGCAGAACAGACACACACAAAACCAGTAAAAGCCAAGGATAGTAGCAAGATCTCTCTTTTTTGCTCATTCACTTTTGGATTGCTGTGTATTCCACAAATAAGCAACTCCAGATAAAGATACATATAACCATGATCATCCCCACACATGTGGGTTTATTTCCGCATACACGTGTGTTTATTTCCATGGGATTTCTCCTACCTGGAAGTAAGGGCACAGATGACCTTGCTCCACTGCTCAACTACTGCAGGGTGATGCCGCCAGTTGGCCACCATCTCTTTGGCAGTCTTCCAGTAAGGTGGTGTCGGAAAGCACCGTGTACAAGCTAGTAACCACACCTCAAACAGCACGCCAATTAATTTTTCAGCCAGATTCTCAGCAATGCCACCTTATAAAGAAACAAAGCATTCCTTAAGTGAGTATTCAAGCTAAATAGCTTCAAATATCTCCCCAAGGAGACTGCAGTTTAAGTGCATAAAGATTCTTAAGTTCATTTTTTCATCATTTTTCATTTAAGAGTGGTTCCTGATTGCTTCCTACAGCCAATTAGTCTTTTTACAAGACCAAACATAATATAAAAAGCCCAGTCACATGCATGTGTCACTAAGGGACACTGGGAATTCAGTGATCTTAGGCTGTCTTCTATTGCACTCTACCTATATTGATGCCTTTTTTTAAAAAACAGGTATAAACTGACAACATCATTTTCCAGTAGGCAGGCTAAACAGCAAGACACATAGGGGTTTCAGTGAAACAAACAGGGAACAAACACCATTATCTGAAACCCTTCACCATGAACTGTTCCTGTACAGAGTCACTGTTCTGCAAAAATATGTTTAGGAGAACTCAGCTCCAAATCATTCAGGCTTTTCTGACAATGCTTTATTTCAGGGTAGTGTAGCAGAATTAGGAGCGAGCTATTGCGCTTTGGTGGCTACTAAGAGCTTTTAACAGGTTTCCTCCCCATGCCCCTGGCAGCTCAACATCAAGCAGAGCCAAAGGTTTTTCCAGTAATTGAACAAAATGGAAGTTGAACATGAACCTTGCACAGTTGGAGCTGCTAGAAGAGTGTCATTGATCTGAAGAAGAAATAACAACAAAACCTCCCAGGTTTCTCTTGCCATAATTGTTGATTCACGAGCCAGTTTCTGGACAGCTTTCAAAACCTGCAAGCACAATCTAATCTGACTAGATCCTGGGTCTGGCCTGCAAGAGAAGAAAACAATACTTGAGTGTCTAAACAAGAGCTATAGAGTGATGCATACAATAATCTGAACTTTGAGCAATTACAAGAGGAAACATCAATATTATTGAACGAGAGCCAAGAACATGAGCCAATATGCTTCTATGCACCCTAACTCTGTCTCTAAACATCCTAACTCTGCCTTAATTAGTACGAGATGTACTGTAACATTCTTCTTTACATGACACACAACTCACCACCGTAGAGCGAACACTAACTGGAGCAAGCACAACCCATTATCCCAAAGGAATTTATCTTAGAGCAAACAATGAGAATGTAGTTAAGACATCACTAATTGTTACATGCATAGTTCAGACGGAAAATGTCGAAATTAGGAGAAAATACGGTTAGCAAACTAATTTAAGTTCTTCCTAGTTCTCCTCTTGCTTCCAAATGTAGATCCAACTGTTACCCCCAAATCCTTGAACTTGGGTGGGGGGCGATGGAATCTAGAAGACGGTCATTAAATAGGAAAAACAGGCTACAGGGAAGAGGGGATAAGTAAGGAAGACAGGGAACAAGTTGATATTCTCAAGGTTTTCCCTATAATAACAACCAGTTCCACACTGTCACTGCTGAGTCACTCAAGATGAAGTGTTGCAGAAGCAGCACAAAGCAGCACGCTCCCTTCCCATCAGTTAGTTTGGACAAGGCAGAACGGGTACAAAAGAGTAACATGAAACGTTCTGTATCTGAGGACACTGGTAAACAAACCTGAGGAAGCCTACAAGTTTAAAGGGTGAAAGAGGAGATGAGAAATTAGAGTGTGCAACATATGGAAGCCATATTTCAACTTGTAAGCAGTTTCCTCATCCTTCCTACCACTTACTGAAAGGATGACCAAAAAAATCGTAAAAATATTATCGTCCACTGGACTACTAAGCAGTATTACCAGATTCCTACCAAACATTTTCAATGTGGTATAACCCACAAATCATGTGGCATGGTAAGCATCTTAAGAACATGTCGATCCACTAGATAGAGATCTGCTTTTCTTAGAGAATAGTAGCTTGCATTGAGATCACTTATTGACAGACACGCTTTAAAAATACTATCAACTCTTATCTTCACAGAATAAATGTTGTATTACAGTACTGGAAACAAGATTACAAAGAGACAAGATAATATCTAATGCAAAATGGCAGACCACCAGTCACAGTTCAGGACTTCAGTAGGTCGCTCGATGCTAGTGCTAGATCTTAACAGATAGTCTCTGCAGAACAACAAAGCTTGGGACAAGTAAGCCCTGCCGTGGTTACAGCACTATTTTCTCCCTGAGCAAAAACAGAGCAGATACTTTAATCAAAAGATATCCTTAATCTTGAGAGGCTTGAAGTTTCAAAGCCTGTTTCAAGACTTGTTTCCCTGATGATTTAGGGAATGTATATGAAGGGGGCTTACACGTAGGAGCTCCACGCGCAAGATGAGTAATGGGACATTTCTGAGCTAATCTGGTAAAGGCAACTCTAAAATCCCTGTCCATCTATCAGTTCCTCAGTCAACTGAACGGCAAACTTTGGTTGCAGCATTTGCAGACTCATGTCTAGATTTCTACAGAACCTGGCCTTTTCATTCCCACACTCCTTTGCAACAAGAATTGTTCTCGTGATTGCATATGAGGAGCAGAAGTTATTACAAAAAAAGTGTCTATTACACTTGGACAGTCACATGTTCCATGGTCTCTCAAGCAATTCCAGACATTTTAGTTGCATAGAAGACCCTGGTACCTACACCTCAATCTCCTGGGGAGGGAAGACGGGGGAGAAAGTTCTCCTATTTTCTTTCTGTGCTTCCAACAAGAGTTTGCAGCACTGAAATTTTATCTGACAGTAGTAACTACCACTGCTGCTTAAGTAATCAGCAAGGCTTCCTGAATATTGTACAGTCGGCTAGAGGCGGAAAGCCTGGGGGTTGCATGGGGACTGCTCAAATACACATCAGAAATGTGGTCAAGTCTTGAGTAAACAAAGCATGGGATTGCCATGATGTGCTCTTAGTTATCACCGTTTTACACAATACCAAGCATGTGGTCACACAGTGATCCTATTTAACATTTCCCCTCGCCCTCCACTCATCTCATACAGATGGTTCTTGAAGTTCTTAGAACAGTAAACATTCAAGCCTATGAACAATCTGTAATTCTAATTACCTAAACACAGCAGCAACAACCAACTCAATTTGCTACTGAAAATTACAAAACAGGTTTGGAGAGAGACCTTCCTCCTGACATTGCAACAATAGCAGTCTTATTTTAATTAAGAGCCTCCATGGCTCATCAGGCCTCTTTGACTGGTCACCTGCTGACTACAGCTTCGAATTCCCGAGCCTCCTGAGCATCCCAGCCCCAGCACTCACCTCGGTACAAATAGATTTTGGAGATGTTTGAGAATGCTTTGAACATAAAGGTTTGGTTCCTTAATAACTGGTAAAGGAATGGAGTCCTTAGGTAATACAAGAGCCATAATCCAATCCGTATATACATCGACACAGTATTTCACAGTATCGCCATCCAGAGGGAGGGTCAGTCCATAACAAACCACCTCCATAGTCCATTTTACCTAACCAAAGACAAAGCAAAAGTTATTAAACATTAGCAAGTAAACAACAGTCAGTGCACATTGGTTCTAGCTCAATGAAATAACAGTAGTTATGTGGTACGGGCAACTCTATCTAACATATACTGCCAGAAAACACCAAGTCATTAATTTGTGTATCATGACATTATGAAGATTATGAATAAATAAATGGCAAGTCTCTTTAGTCTAACCTGTAAAAAGAACTCTTCAGAACACGCAAGAGCTGATGTAATGGAAGATTTTCAAATTCTAGTAAATATTTGTACCGTACAAAGACTTTTTTTAAAAAGCCGCATACTGTTGCTTTAAAAATGCAGGTAATTAGAAAGGCTTTATGTGTTAACTGCTAAAGTTGTTTTGGGGTTTTTTTTTGTCGTTGTTGGGTTGGTTTTTTTTTTTTTTTTCCCCTTTAGCCTGAACTTCCTGGTACAGTAGCTCAGATAAACACTACTAGGTCATGAAGTACACTGTTGCTATGATCTAGCTGTTATTAGAAGCCTTATGTAGATTACTAACCTAAAAATATAGCACACTTCATAAAACTTCGACTATTAAAGAAAGAAAAATAAAAAAGGCTATAGAAAATCATTAAGTTGCCACTCTAGCATGAAGAAAACTGTGATCTCTAAGGAAATACACTTACTTCTTTGTCTGTTTTTAGCAAACTCTCACTTCCAACAGATGATGTAATTAAAGCTTGTCCAAGAGGACGCACCACTGCATTTGCCACTTCTCTCCCCACGTTTTCAGGATAGCTGTGAAGTACACTGGTATTACCCTGATCATTTTGAATGACAAGATGCAAGGATCTCCACTCCGAGTACATAGTGCCTCTATGCTAAAATCCAAATAAAACCTGAGGGCAAGGAAGAAAAAAGACATAATTAGTAGAAATGTTGATGACATGAGTTACCAAAACTGAGGCTGTTTGCCATGATAAAGACCCGTGGAAATTCAAGGTGTATATGTCCGTGTCATACATTTGAAGACCTAGAAGAGATTCCAACAGTTGTTTTTCAACCTTTTTTTTTTTTTTTAAAAAATTGTGGTGTGAGGTTTTTGGTTTTTTTTTTAAAAAAAAAAAAAAGATTACAGCAAGTTTCAGTTAGGAACTAGCAGCCCATTTGAGACACTTAAACTTAATTGGGTATGCCCTAATGCATTTCAAATCCCTGTACAGTCAATACACACACACACAGAGTCACGCCCTAATCTAGATTTGTCCCGAAGATTCCGGATAGAAAAGCCCCTAGAAAATTTCCCATAGCTTTCTCAGAACTAGAGTTCTCCTTTCAGCAATGCTCCCGGCACAACTGCAGTCGTGCATTTGCCCTTATTGCAGATGGGGGGAGCAAAGCCGACAGTGAACTAAGCAGGTTTTTGCAGCGGTGGGTTTTGGGGCTTTTTTTGGCATTGTTGTGAAACCACAACCAAGAGAGGCAGATAAGCAGCAGCAAAAGTGAAGCTAGGCTTCCACAGTCACTCACAGCCAGCATTTGCCCGGGAGCACGGCAGGGAATGCCCTTCTGCCCCGAGAGCAGCGGATCGTGCCGCAGGGAATGCCCTTGGCAGGGAATGCCCTTCTGCCCCGAGAGCAGCGGATCGTGC